TAGAGCAAGAGCAACTGTTAGCAAAAACCAAAACCTTGGTTGAAATACCTAATATATCTGGCTCATGAACCAAAACCGAACCAAAATTTAAAGTTGGGCACAAATTTTAAAGATTGCATCGGGTGAGCAACAGTTTATCGATTCGAGAAATTAATGCGCTGATGAGAAAACGAAAACTCGGATATCGAGACGATAAAGTGGCCGGTAAACTAAAGGTTAGATGAGAAATCGGCCCTTAGGGCCATTTTCTAATGTAAGCAGTAAAGTTGCCTTTACTAACAGGGCAGATAAATTGTTCCTCACTTTAAAGTGTTTTAATTTTCTTATCTTACCGGTAAAAATAAATTTGTTATTTCGTAGAGTGAAACTTCACTACAGTTCCGAGAGTGAAACTTCACTACATTCGTCATATAATTTCAAAGGTTGGCAATGCAACATAAGCAAATATAGAGCAAGAGCAACTGTTAGCAAAAACCAAAACCTTTGGTTGAAATATCTAATATAGCTGGCTCATGAACCAAAACCAAACCAAAATTTAAAGTTGGGTACAAATTTTAAAGGTTGCATCGGGTGAGCAACAGTTTATCGATTCGAGAATTTAATGCGCTGATGAGAAAACGAAAACTCGTATATCGGGACGATAAAGTGGCCGGTAAACTAAAGGTTAGATGAGAAAACGGCCCTAAGTGTCGAAAATATTTTTTTAAAATTTTACTAGTAATGTGAAGCACACCTTGTACTATGTTATAGTAGATCGTTCAAAACATTTGTAACGTTTTTGTTTTAATTCACAAAGGCGAAGACAAAGTGTAAAAACAAAAAGAGGCTTATCATAAAGTTTCCCGCTGCGAATTAACACCGCTTTATATTTTAAGGGCCGTTTTCTCATCTAACCTTTAGTTTACCGGTCACTTTATCGTCTCGATATACGAGTTTTCGTTTTCTCATCAGCGCATTAATTTCTCGAATCGATAAACTGTTGCTCACCCGATGCAACCTTTAAAATTTGTACCCAACTTTAAATTTTGGTTTGGTTTTGGTTCATGAGTCAGATATATTAGATATTTCAACCAAGGTTTTGGCTTTTGCTAGCAGTTGCTCTTGCTCTATATTTGCTTATGTTGCATTGCCAACCTTTGAAATTTTATGACGAATGTAGTGAAGTTTCACTCTCGGAAATGTAGTGAAGTTTCACTCTACGGAATAACAAATTTATTTTTACAGGTAAGATAAGACAACGAAAACACTTTAAAGTGAGGAACAATTTATCTGCCCTGTTAGTAAAGGCAACTTTACTGCTTACATTAGAAAACGGCCCTTAGTATTCATTACAAAACTGCAGTAAAAGGTATGCATAGTAGTAATTGTATTGTGAACGAAATTGTACCAAAAAACTACCAATGTATCAGTCCAATTGTACGAAAAATGCCAACACTTATGTATGTATGTATGAACTCGCCTTAGAAAGAGTAAAACAGAAACAAAAGAAAGAAGGGGAGAGACCAAGGCGAATTCATAAGTGTTCTCACTCACGATTGCCTCTTTCGGTACTTTGGACGTAAAGTAGTATATTGTTGGTGATACTGCAAAACGTTGTATTTCACTTATTACCTCTGGTGCTTAATTGATCTGCTATCTGTACCTGATCGCTTCTGGCAATCAGACAAAGGTACACAGTTTTGTCTTTCCTTTATGATGGTGCACGGATTTGCAAATGCGTTCCGGTGCAAGTAAGAGACCTCCTCCCTACTGCTCCTATATGTTTCTCAACCAATTTGAATGATTCTTATCTTGTTCGAAAGGTATTATTTTCCGGTAGGTGCCTGATTTGGCTTCACCATCTATGAATTTTTAAATTATTTAACAGAATATATATTACTGCACCAAACAATATATGTAAGTGAGCTAGACGATTAACAGGTGCTGATTGACTTAAAACACTTCCCAGGCAAAATGAAAAAGTGTGTGAAAAAAGTGAAGTGGTCGAATTTCGACAACGGGGCGATACTAGTTATTACTAATGGCTTAAAAATGCTTTTTGTTAAGAGTCCCTGAAAATATGTGCATCCACGTTTATGTAAAACTAAGATTCTTGTTTCCCAAAAATTTCAT